GTAAACAAGCCAAAATGTGATTGAACAGGTTAAAACTAGTCTTTCTCCTTCTTAGATAGTACGTGTATGCCAAAATTTCTGATGATTGATTGAGCCGTTAAAGTACTAATGATTTACAAACAAACTGCTTTCACCTATATAACATCAGTACGCATTGTTTGTGAAAGGCTTACTAAAATTGTAAATAAGATTACAAAAATAAGGATTACAGTAAAATAATTTAAGATGAAGTGATATTTCGTATTACTAAGGTCGTATCTCTAAGCGATTTCTTGCAGACAACCTTTGAATAGAGGACATTCAGAAAAAAGATACAGTAGGTGGTGATTTGTAATATATCAATGCACATAAATAAATATATGAAGGTATATAAACATTATACTACACCTACAATAGAAGAAAATCACAGAGGAAGGCGAATAGAAAAAAAAAACGGATACTTATGACAAATAGAGGGAAGATAATCTCGACAGTGTACCTGACCAACTGCTTACGTTGTCCTTCTCATACATAATATATGCAGTAGTAGGTAAACAAGTCGACGGCCCAGATACCTGTGGAAAGTGGTAACCGTCGCTTACAGACATTGTCAAGACCATAAACTTCATAAAGACAACTTCTTACAGTGCTTCATGACGGTTGTCATTCTTAAGATACCCACCAATTTTTATAAAGGAGCTACAATATCATTTTAATTGCTTTATCTACTGCATATCAAACAAATAAGCGAATGTAAATCTACATCCACATATATTTAAAAGAAGCAATAAAATTATTCGATACTAATTAAGATATTCATGACAAAAGGCGAGTTCCCTCTAGAATTTATTGAAAGCATTTATGGGCTTCAGTGACCGCTTCAGGCGAACCATATAGTTTATCGTTAGTAGTAGACGAGTTATCTACTACAATTAACATAATAAGTAGCAATCGATCTATCTACGTTAGCTGGCTTTAGTTAGTAACACTATCAGGGTGCTGAGAACAAATGAGATTGAACGGATTACTATAATATGGATGTGTGAGTGCGACACATCATGACGCACTGTACACGGTCATAAACACACATCATTTAATTTTCATTACAGTCCGTATGACGAACTTCGAATGTTCACTTACGAACTTATAATTTTGACGTGTAAACATTATTTTCTCATTTGTGTACCCAGTTGTACACTTATATTGTCTGCTTCCTCCTACAATAAGTTCGATCGTCATTATACTTGTTTTTATCTAGTATCAGTCAACATATCCGATGTATATTAATAAGGTTCCCTTACTATGTTTTAAGATATTCGCTTGGTTGTTCATGCATATATCTTAGTTTACAACATTGCAATATATGAAGTTATGTCACATTTTATTAAGTATTTACGCTATTTTTAGGTGTATTTGTTAACTGAAAGTGCCTGTCATAATTTTATTATGGTTTACAAATTATACGTTATTAGGGGCTTCTTAACAATTTGATGAACTCATGAATGCATGAAAATAATAATAATTTGTTGTTTTCAATTTGATACGAAGTGGAAAGCCTTTGCAACGATATCTCATTTACTGAATCCGACGATTTTTTTTTTTTATTTAAATTTGTAATAGACAAAGGAAAAATGCCAAAGAAAAACTGTTGTTTCTATACGAAATGTGAGTATTTACGGTGTACATATCCATATATGAGGATGCTGATTTACTAAGTGATAAACGCATATATATATCCTCATAGCCGAAGCCGCTGAATCTAGAATCTTGATATTTTGCAGATAGATTCTTTATATAGCGTAAAGGAACAATAGGAAAGGAGTTTGAGATTTCAACCCCTAAAGGGGTAAAACGAGAGTTGAAAATTTTATATGGAATTTCATCAGTGTAATAGTTTATTCAAAACAAATTAATATATTATTATTGACTTTTGAAGAATTTATCAGTAAAGGTATTCAATAGGGGTTGAAAGCTTGTATGGGAGTTCTGACATAATTGAAGCGAAGCACGACACTGATTTTAGACTTCAAATTAGAAATAAATAAAATGCCTGTCAGAGTTTTCAGAAAATTCACCTCTTAACGGGTGAAATTGGGTATAAAAAATTATATACGACCTCTGTCATTTTTTGAAATTAGAAGTTTGAGAGCTTGTTTTGATTAAAAATAATATTTCAGCAGTTTTTGGAAATTCAACCCCTAAGACAATAAGACAGGAAATTATTTAGTTTAGTAAAAACTAGATATGTAAATTTGTTAATTTAAAGGAAAGTTTTAAATCTAGTCTTTTGCTAAGAAATAATATAATTTATTATTATTATAAATATTATTCTCCTAAGAAGCTAAAGAGGGTAAAAGATATAAAATGGGGATTTGCAATATAACCGAACTCCATGCGGATAAAATCGTGGGCAATAGCTATAAGTTATAAGACTGAGACAGAAAATGTTTCCCGCGAGAAATCGAATATACCACACATGAACAAAGTCACGGGTAAAAACTAGTAGATAAATAATATTTTTGAACCTATCGTCCATGTGTTCTAGCATTATTATGCAGGTGACGGTTGATATTTTCATAGGGTTTTGAGTTTGTTTTTGAAATTAGTTAAAATGTAGTGAAATTTTCAAGTCGTAATCTGTCTATTCTAATATTATAGAGAGGAAAGATTTGATAGTTTGTAACGGATGATCCCAAAAACTTTTTAACAGATTTTAATAATTATTTCACCTATAGAAAGTTGTATTATGAACGAGAATCATATGCTATTATTTTTGAAAATTTCTATCTACTTATAATTATAGCCGGGCTAAGTCGCTAGTCTAAAAATAAAATAATATTTTCTGTCAACTTTGGTTGGTTGAATTATTTTGATTTTTAATTGTATTTAATTAGGTTGAATCCGTTATTTACGTTTTAGTAATTTTAAGATTCCATACTAAAATTGTACAAAGGGTTCTTATGGTGCGGTTTTATCCGTATGTCCGTCTGTCACAGCGCCATATCTTATCTAATTCTATCGTTTTGAAATTTAAAATAGTTTTTGATATAATTTATCCACATATATTGCAGGAGAAATAATTGAAAAATATATTTAAATTTTTTGCAAGAGGGTCCAAAAAGCGTACTCAAAATTTCAAACTTATGGTACTAATCCAAGTGGCATATCATATGAAAAGGATTTATTTGTATATTCTAAAACTGTTTTTATAATATTTTAATTTCACATAGTTTTTTATTTATAACCATGCCCACTCCTTGCCTCTGAAATTTTTTGAAACGGAATATCCAAAATATTTACAATTTTTTTGAGTGTACGTGTAAATATTACAAGAAAAATAAAACCATGTTTGTAACTAGTACAAATTTTCAGAAAACCTCTAAAAATAAAATTAATTGTATGGTTGGATTAGCTATATTTGTGTCACAAATTAAAAAGAAAAACACACGCACACACACAAATTGAAATAACAATAATAAAAAGTATTATATAAATAAAAATTATTTCCTTTCTTCTTTCTTTCTTATAGTACCTACTCGTATTTCATATGAGAAATACAACAAACACACGTAGTAGGTATTTATTTACTTTCTGTATATCTTAACGCAAAGTCCTTTCCGAACTATATAGGGAGAACTGGGTGCCAAAAACGTCTTCTATACTTTTACACATCTCTTGCTTTCTATATTTTTATAACTCATATATTGAATGTATTCGTACGTTATCTCCAGAGACTCTTTACTTCTCCTTTAGTAGTAGGTATATAAGGATTTTATCTCATATTTACATACGGAACCCTCGACGTGTGAGTTCAACTCGCATCTGATCGATTTAACTCTATATGGATTTATCAAAAGAATAAATAGGTTTAATCTCATAGTTTTAACTTTTAATGATTTGTCATCAGCACCACGCTACAACACGTGGGCTGTTTTCCTTAATGAGATGAAAATGGAATGGAGACCCGCTTTCTCTGTCAGTATACACTATAACACGTGAGATATAGATACCAGGCAGAGCCATTGTTGACGCATGACCAAAACTTTAACAGCCAAAACATGTATACTACGAAGTAGAAATGTTAGCATAACAAACAGGCATGATGAAATTAAGCACTTAGTTTATGCCATTTATTTACCAAGAAAATATTCATCAAATTTAATATTTTTTTGTTATTAATAAAACATTGAAATTAAAGGGTTAAAATATAAACAAGTTTTAGATTTATCTTTCACTGTAAATAGGTGATTTGACATACGAGTACCTATCTATCTCTAACTCTGTAAATACCTATTAAACAAGGTCGTCGAATTTCTATTATTTTGCGCAAATACCGATCTGGGTAGATACTTGACATAAGTAGCAATAAGTTTTTATTAGGAAAATTTTCTTGCAATATTCGGTAACCAGCCTTTGAGTGTCTTTGCTCGACCATGAACGCGTGAAAAAGGCTAAAGTCATCGAGTGCTCTCACTTTAGATGAGCACAATAGATTCTCGGCTGTTTTGAAACATGATGCCTTCTCTACGTCACTTGTTCTAATAACGATCTCAAATGGCTTTATACATTATGATTCAGACTAAACGGTTCATTGTTAGTTTAAAGCGCAATCGCCGACATTTTCGCTTCAGCTTCTTAATACAGAATAATTTGAATGTTATGATAATGAATCCGTTTACACGCAAATGTAGGTACGAGACAGTCGCATAGCATCAATTTTTTTCAGTCGCCTTTGCACAGCTACATTACATATGTTTCTTAACTAGCTATGAATAATACTTATAGATTACGATGAAACTGAAACAATAACGAACTGTCAAGTCTGATAGTTATTGGTCTAACAATATTTATTTATAAGGTTTCCTATAGCAAAGTTTAACGGGCATTGTATGGAGGATCGGCTGTTGTGGTACGGATTTAATATGAACAAACGCTAAGCTCCTTAAAACTAGTATGAGACAAGAGCAGGAGCAAGGCCGACGGGACTACGTTCGTCCTTGGCAAGGACAGAGGTTACTCACCGAGAGGCTGGTGAAGCGCGGCGTGCGCGTCACAGTCTGCACAAATGGTGGAACGGAGCATCCTTTCACGCTGTAATCGACGTAGCAACTGCAAGTGCTGCGGTGTAAACACCGTACCGGACCGCTCGCCTACTAGCATCACGTCACCGGCATCCCACCACGCTTGCTCCCGTAGAGTTCCATCCCTGTTAAAGAGCCCCATATCCTTGTACCCCTCCGGAGGACTAAGCGCTCCAGGTTCTGGTTCCTGGTAGCGCTCGCACGCTCCGCAGCCGGAACATTCCTCGCTTTCCCCTTCATCAGAATATCCACACTCATCTCGCACGACAATAATGTAATCGGCCTCAAAGAATTCATTTGCGCTCTCATCGAAGACCACCCTATGCTTTTTGGTCTTGTTTCCCTTTTTGAGTGACGACTTCAAGTTTTCGTGATCTTTATTGTGGCGCGTGTCGCGAGCGGCGCGGTCCCCGCGCATCGTCGCGTGTTCTCGCGACGGGGGCAGTCGCCGGAGTGTCGTAAGGCGACGGTGGCAAGCGGTTCGTCGACTGCAGCGCCGCGCCCGCCTATCGATCGGAGCCGCCCGCCCGCCTCGACCGACGCGACGCGACGCGACGGTACTCGCCGTCGTCGTCATACCGTGGTCCACACACAAACACCGGCGCGATATCGCACTTGCCATAAACATTGATCACCGCGCCGCGAGCTCTCATTAATTAGACACGTAAAACATTACACATCCGATTCTTTATTTACTGTCGGCAGAGTGAATTAAGACAAGCGGAATGATATAGACAAGCGATAGAGCGCTACCTAATTCGTTGGCACGTGGATACTAAATAAAAAGAATAGTTTAAGTTTAATGTTTGGTACTAATTAAATAGATTCTAATATTATGAACCATAAATTACGTATATAGTTTCTTATTTGAATCTTAATCCTATGGGTTCGGGGTTCGGCTGTAATTTGGAAACCGAATCTAATTTGGCAAAAACGAAAATAGAGAGCGAATCCCGTCTGTAATCACCACTTTCTATAATATATCTATCAGTTGGTCCTTATATATATCGAAATCAATTGTTTCTCTGATTACATAATAAACATTGGCAGGCATGCTTTACTGGCGTCAATGTAGTGTTTACCATCACACGATTCGTGTTCATGTTTACCAGTCTCCTTTACAGGAGCTATCTATAACAGGTAAATATAAAAAAAATGGTTAGATCATGGTTTGGCTACGAGTAATTACTTCATACGTATTAAGTACACTTATATATATATATAAAATATACCATACTACACCATATGAGCCTCCCCATAAACGAAGGTTTTGCCAGTACTTGCCACGCTTGGCAAGTGGATTAGCAACCGATAATAAAACTTAACATAAAATGTATTTTATGTTTAATTTTAGTTTGACAACGATTCAAGTAAGTTACTGACATAAATCTCAGTATATATATTTATATTTTTCCTTTAACTCTATATGAATAAAGATCGTGTCCCACAAAAAAGAACCGACTTCAATTGTGACAAAATTAATAATTTTAATCTAAAAACTAAACTACTGAATCGCTTTTAATAAAATTCTTATAAAATTAATCTTTAAATATATCTTTTCATATAAAAAAGATTTTTCCAAATAGGTATCAAACTGGCGGAGTTATGAAGTCACAAACATAAAAAAAATACACCCGAATTGAGAACCTCCTTCTTTTTGAAGTTGAAAAATTAAATGCTCTTCAATGTTAAATTCATTACTTAAGAAGGATTGAAGCGATTTACCTATTTATCTTTAATAACCTGAATTTATTTTATGTATTTATTTTTATTAGTCGAAATTATTCGATTAAAAGGTATTAGAAAAAGAAATAATAAATAAATTTTAATTTGAAAAAGACAGCGTTTGTGGAGTCAAGTTTTAATTAAAATAAATACACAGAGAAAATAGTGAAATAGTCGGTGGGCCAAGTCTGAAACGATTCACCTGCAAACGAATTAATGATTAAATTGTGCTTCGGCGGAGTAACGGGTCGACTACGAACGTTTCATTGAACATTTCAGGTTGCCAAATTTTCCATCGGCCAAATGTTAAATGTACTGTTTTGTTGACGAAATGATTTAGAGTATATATAACTGGACAACAGTAATTTAACGCGCTATGTTTTTAACAATCGCAGTGACTTTATTCGGAAGTCTTTTTTAGGTTAAGTACGGTGCATGGGGGAAGGGATTGTTAGTAGTGAAGTGTGAAATAATCATCGTGGATAATTAATAATAAGTTGGTCACAATGGAACAACCGATTTGACTTCATCCCCACTGGTGCAAGCGGCACTGCAGATATTTGTTAAAATTATTAGAATTATAATAAAATTAGAATTATTAGGTTAAATTAACATTTAATTCCAACCCATTAAAAAAATACAGTACGGTGCTTACGTCAGGGCGTCTCGCCTCCCACTTTAATTGAGATTATGTAGAAGAAAAATGCGCTGACCTACTGTTGTTTGTTTCATTAGATTGTCTAAAGGCAAAGTATTTCCGATACCGTCGTTCTCTCTAAAAGAAAAGTAAGTGCCTAGTAAATCTTCATTTTTTATTTAAATTTAAACAGTTTTTAACTTGTTTAGATATATACTGCGTATCTCTATTCTGCGTGCTATTATATATTATAATGCTACGAGTCCTCATGGGCGAAACAGTATACTCTGTTATGTCCATGGTACTGCTCATGTCTATAGGCGACGGTTATCACTTTCCATCACGTGGACCGTCAGCTTGTTTGCCATTCTAAGTTGTATAAAAGAAAATGCTACGAGTCCCATGGTGTGGTATCTTTTTAAAGTTCGTACTCCTGAAGACAAATTTTATGACGCTCGTCTATTTTAAAACGACAAAGTCATTTTATAAGCCTCGACCTGGATATCTTGTCAAACAGTACAGAATACAGTCAGGTTTATAAAAGAACCGTAAAATTTATTTTATCTGTGTTGACAACATTACCTACATGCAGAGAATAACTGAATTCTCCTTCCTCGTTTCTAACTCCTATTGAGTTAGAAACGTTCAACTGTGTTTAAACTACACCAACAATATTTTTTATTCGTATAAGTAAATATAAAATAATAGTCTTTATTTATTTATAGTAACTTTACTGGCCACTCGAAAAACAGACTCAAAAGACTGACTTAAAATATTAAAACCACTTTAATATTATTATCTCCCAGCCAATCTTATAAGAAAATAAAAAAAATGTATGCAGTATACGATTATGAAAATATCAATTACACACTATACTTACACAAAAATAAAAAAGTGTGATATTATAATTTAATCTTTTTGTGGATTATGCCCTTACTAGTGTGGGATTACTGGTGGATGGTAGCCCTCCTTAAATTCACAGGATTTAACCGGACCCTTATTAGTGGAAATGAAATCCAACACATAAAGGTCCTATTGAGAATAATATTATATATATACCAATATAATATACCTGCAGGACGATCGAAACCCGTCCCAAGCGGGTTAATAAGCGTAAATAATAAGTCGTGGATGCGAAAAGTATTGTTACATAGATACTTAACAATTATATGGGCTAAATATCTTGGCATGGATTAAAATTTTGGTAGGTTGACAATGACCTATGTCCAATAAGGTAGCACAAATATAAAATATAAAGAGTAATTTTGCTTAGCCAAGACACACGGAGAGACAAGAATTGAAATTTTGCATATATAATTTATTGTGAATAGTATGCCATTGCAATATTATAGTGACAATCAGCTGATCTGATAATAGAGATGAAGGATGGCAACGTAAACTTACTAACAGAACAAAGCATTCTCGTAGTAGTCAGCTAACAAATCTTAATCAAAGTTGGATCATGAAAGAAGCTTGAACTCTGTTATTGACTTTGAATGACGTTCCAATTAACTGCAATATTCGAGTGAACTATCTACACAGGTGAAACTGATAATTTTTTCCAAAGAAGTGATAACAAAAATTGACGTTTTTCGTGTAACCTCCTCATCCTTTGAGGAGGTTACACGAAAGGTTACTTTAGATTTCACCATGTATTTTAAAGGCAAATATGTTACATGGGTTCTGTCTTCAAAGACCTATGGTCATGGATAATGAATATATACTGAAAATTTATTATCAATATATACTTTAAAGGTCTTAAGGGTATAGAGTCCCTCAAGAGGCAAATCCTTTGAACCCCAAAAATAATCGACATCCTCGATCACAAGTTTAATAGCCTTTAAAGTTAAACTTTACTTGAAGAAATATAATACGGAAAGTTTGATCAAAATCGGCCCAGTGTTTCTAAAACATTTTAAATTATATACTATGCACACAGGATCCAGCAATATGTATCTACAGTATTAAAGAAAAATAACATATATCTGTATCCATACCTACATACATAATAAAAATGTAACCTTCAATATCTTTGACTTAACTACATGTCTGCACTCGTATTACGAAAAATATTATTAAAAACTAGTTGTCCGCCCTGACTTCGTACGGATATCATTTCCCTTTCTTACAAAACTTGTCTTGAACGAACATTCACAAACACAACAATAAGACCTATCAAGTTTTCATACATAATATAATCCTTAAATAGATTTATATATCCTTTAGATAATAATTTATTTATATTATGAGATGATTATTTAATTATGTAAATATATGAGAAAAAATGATCTTATCATATTTTTTAAATAAATTATACATTTAATAAATAGATATGTATAGTTATTATTGTTATTTCAATTAAGAGTTCCTTATTTTAAGCCATAACTGTAGCTAAAAACCTATCAACATATTTGAGTTTGTTTAAGGAAGATTTTTTTATAGACGACAGTTACCACTTTCCATCAGGTGGACCGTCAACTTGTTTACCATTCTAAGTTGCATAAAAAAATTGTTTTTCTCACATTTTCGGTTAGAAGTAAAAAACGACGCAACATAAAAATAAATAGAAATCAGTTTTGTAATGGATAAATGAAGCCCTTTCATATGAAATTCCACATTGGACATCTTAATGGACCCCCTGTGAAGTTAAAATATTTTTAGTAATATTTCTATTGCAAAATGTGTGGGACAACAATGTAAAACTATTCCAAATTTCAAATCGTATTAATAATTACTGAGATATAGTACTGTGAAAGACAAATGGACAGACGGACGGAAAAAGTCGCACAATGACCCCTTATTAAAAGAACCCCTCCTTTATATTTTTGGTACAGAATCCTAAAAAGTATTTGCCAAATAGGTGCAGTCGTCCTGAAGTGATGAGCTTACAAACATTCGATAATTGATGTTTATTTATACGTATATTTTAGAAAGCTGTCGATTTTTTGCTTCATGCTCATAAAAAATTAAGAATCGTCAGCCTTTAGGTGAGCCTGAAAAAAATAAGTTTATAGTATTATGTTTATACTAATTACATACCTAAATCTGTTGTAGGTATTTTAAATGCCAGTATTTAAATCTAAAGTAAAGTATAATATTTTATTTATTAATTTCTAATATCTCATTGACTAACAAACATCCAAACATTTTTACAAAGTTCGTTATATATG